ATGCAGGCAAGGGAAGTCCGGGAGTCAACTGTTCGAGTCACGAATAGACCGAGCCATGAGGCGACCAATGACCAATGACCATTGGTCAATCCGTGATAAATCGGACTAATGACCAATCAGATCCTGAATCGAGCGGTCGAGTCACGTACCGACCGAGTCACGAACTGATAAACCCAAACCATGAGCAGACCGATTTAAGAGCAGACTAACCAAGTCATGAGCCATTGGACCGAGTCATGAGTCAATCGCACGAGTCATGAGCGGGACACGGCGACACCAAGTCACGGAACGACCGACCGAGACATCCGGCCGGCTCGGGTCCACTGAGACAGCCAGCCTGATCCCACGGATCGACTTCGGTCGGCGGACACGGCGACTCCGCAGGCTGCTGACAGTGCTGAGTTGTTTCTGATTACCACGAGACAAGGCGAGCTCCCCGGCGTTGGTCGTCAGCCCAAACGAGATCTAGCCGACAGCGCCATTCACTCGTTTTACGAGAGCATTTGTTCGTTGATTTCATATCAAAACGACATCACAACTCACTTGTTTTAGCAGATCAAATCCGTTCTATATTCCGCCCACAACCTTTGGCAGCAAAAAGGGCGCAAAGTCGACTTTAAGGCATGGTATATGCTGGCTGGCGTAAAGGTAATAAAAAATGACCCGTTTCCACAAACATCAAACATAAATGACGATCGACTTAAGCACTTAAGTCCAGTATACCAAAATCAAACATACGTTATAAATTAAGTAGGACTAAAGGAAAATCAAAACTCAAATGAAAGAAGACTTCACATATGTAGACGGCTGAATAGTGTGCCGACGGCCGGCAGTGTTGCCGGAAAACACTCCACAGCCCATTAGATTCCCTAGAGCAACGGGTAGACATGGCGGTGGCCTTACTGGAGTACAGGACGGCCCTGCTGGACCCCCTGACGACCTCCGACTCTGACGGTCCTGCTGGTCCTTCTAACGGACCTGCTGAGACCTTGACCATCGGAGGCCCTGCTGGACCCCCTCTGATGGCCTTGCTGGTGATCCCTCTGCTGGCCCTGTTGAGTGCTGAACCGTCTGCCAGCTCTGACAGCTCTGGTTCGTACTGGTCCATCTGACGGTTCTGAGGCCCCGCTGGACCGTCTGACAGCTCTGGTTCGTACTGGTCCATCTGACGGCTCTGAGGCCCTACTGGACCGTCTGACAGCTCTGGTCCGTACTGGTCCATCTGACGGCTCTGAGGCCCCGCTCTGGCCCGGCTGACGGCCCTACAGGGACGCGGCCCGGCGCCACGGCGGCCCGACGCGGAGCCATTTCATAAATGGCCTCTCTGAATTCAGCGCCGGCCGCGAACATAACTCGCTGTCCGCCCGACTGGTGGTGAAATATTCCGTCTGGAAACTCGGAACACCACTCCATCGTCAATATTTCCTAATTTAGATTCTCAAATAACAAGCTGAACAGTGAAATACACTCTCTTCGGTACAGACTGGAGTGAAACATAGCTTGATAGAAACGAATGAAAGGAATAGGTACACGGGAAACATTGGATGGGAGAAGAAAGCAGAAAAGAGCAAAGGAATAGATAAGAAGAGAGAAACAAGAGGCAGTCGACCTAACTGATCTGACAATGGCGACCGTTGTGTAGAGGTATGCCACTCACGGGCCACGGCCTTTCCGCACGTGGACACGCCAGATTAATTAATCAGAAACCAACTCATTAGGGTCATTGCAGCTCGGCGCGGACTATTTACAATCACGCAAGATGAGCTAGTTTATACCGCCGGTACCAAGCACAAAGCGACCGATCAAAGCAAAACTTAGCCCCAGCCTCAACAACACCATAGAAAGCTAAGACGTGGGCTTCGACCATTGCCGGCGACAGAGGAAAAATGAGATGCTCCGGACACCGACCAGACATTTTCATAAGCGGCCGATTCATGGAGATATGATTATCATGAGAATAATTAATTACCGTGAATTATGGAAGTGATGCCATTTTCTCATTACGACGACCTTCTGAGGATCAGGATAAGTCTGATTCTTACGAAGGTGAGTTGCGACATTAGCATACCATATAAGCAGCGTCCTGAAACTGTGACACGATTATCATTATTTCATTTCATCTGAAATGAGCTACAGGTGACGGTTTCGCTTGTAGCCTATAAACGATGCAGTTCATTTGATAGGAGCGACATGGGACAGCTACGGCAGTCTCATGCAGTATCAAATCAAGAATACTCCTGACGGCTGGGCTGACCCCAGAACCACGCGATGGTCCCGGTCCCGCCAATAAACATATAAATGTAATGGTGCAAACGGTGGTAATGTATGTAATGGCCGTAAAACACGAAATGCCTTTTTGCTGATGTTTACTTTGTGCAATAAATATATCAATAAATAATTAAATATGTCCCTCGAAAAAAATCATCCTGCCGTGGTTGTGGTAATGGCCCGGTCCTATCTATACTGTTGCCATGGTTCCAGTCAGGGATGCGGAGCCGTGGAAATTTCAGACGGCTCCGGCTCCGGCTCCGGCTCCGGAGAAAAAAATCGGCTCCGGCTCCGGCTCCGGCTCCGGGTGAAATGTTGTGGCGGCTCCGGCTCCGGCTCCGGCTCCGAGTAAAATGGTCCGGCTCCGGCGGCTCCGGCTCCGGCGGCTCCGGCTCCGACTCAGTACATCCTCTATGCAATCAATTAAATACGGGTGGAAGAAAAATTGGATTGGTTATACGCGTTACTCTTTGCCATGACCGGCTCACCGCGTCCCCGCGCAAACGCACCTCGGAGAGAACTCGGGCAGAACAAAGGACTAGGAAGCGATGGCATTAGAAACGCAGTCGCCGCGAATTGGAGTTCACTGAACCATCGTAAGCTGACACCAGTCTCGGCTGCATTGGGGGGTGGGAGTGGGGGGGGGGGGGGGGTTGGGGGTGGGGGGAGGGGAAGAGACGGTGCTGGGAGTCGCAGTCCACTGCACTGGCTTGAAAACAATGGCCGTCACTTGTTGACCGGTCCTCATGTTCTGGGGATGCAGTAGACGTGGGGGGGGGGAGGAGGAGCAGACAAGAAGTTGATTGCGTACAGTGGGATACTGGGGATATTCGGCTTTTTTCATTCAGTTGATGGCCCATGACGTAAGTAAAGTACCATATGTTTTACTGCCTTGTACTGTCAAACCGAGCTAGGTCAATTATTTTTTTTTTTCCTCTTCAAAAAATAAAAAGGAGCCGGAGTCGCCCCCTTTTTTGGCGGCTCCGGCTCCGGCTCCGGCTCCGGGCTATATTGTTTCACGGCTCCGGCTCCGGCTCCGGCTCCGGGCAAAATATGCCGGCTCCGGCGGCTCCGGCTCCGACTCCGGCTCCGGCTCCGCATCCCTGGTGCAAACGGTGGTAATGTATGTAATGGCCGTAAAACACGAAATGCCTTTTTGCTGATGTTTACTTTGTGCAATAAATATATCAATAAATAATTAAATATGTCCCTCGAAAAAAATCATCCTGCCGTGGTTGTGGTAATGGCCCGGTCCTATCTATACTGTTGCCATGGTTCCAGTCAGGGATGCGGAGCCGTGGAAATTTCAGACGGCTCCGGCTCCGGCTCCGGCTCCGGAGAAAAAAATCGGCTCCGGCTCCGGCTCCGGCTCCGGGTGAAATGTTGTGGCGGCTCCGGCTCCGGCTCCGGCTCCGAGTAAAATGGTCCGGCTCCGGCGGCTCCGGCTCCGGCGGCTCCGGCTCCGACTCAGTACATCCTCTATGCAATCAATTAAATACGGGTGGAAGAAAAATTGGATTGGTTATACGCGTTACTCTTTGCCATGACCGGCTCACCGCGTCCCCGCGCAAACGCACCTCGGAGAGAACTCGGGCAGAACAAAGGACTAGGAAGCGATGGCATTAGAAACGCAGTCGCCGCGAATTGGAGTTCACTGAACCATCGTAAGCTGACACCAGTCTCGGCTGCATTGGGGGGTGGGAGTGGGGGGGGGGGGGGTTGGGGGTGGGGGGAGGGGAAGAGACGGTGCTGGGAGTCGCAGTCCACTGCACTGGCTTGAAAACAATGGCCGTCACTTGTTGACCGGTCCTCATGTTCTGGGGATGCAGTAGACGTGGGGGGGGGGGGGGAGGAGGAGCAGACAAGAAGTTGATTGCGTACAGTGGGATACTGGGGATATTCGGCTTTTTTCATTCAGTTGATGGCCCATGACGTAAGTAAAGTACCATATGTTTTACTGCCTTGTACTGTCAAACCGAGCTAGGTCAATTATTTTTTTTTTCCTCTTCAAAAAATAAAAAGGAGCCGGAGTCGCCCCCTTTTTTGGCGGCTCCGGCTCCGGCTCCGGCTCCGGGCTATATTGTTTCACGGCTCCGGCTCCGGCTCCGGCTCCGGGCAAAATATGCCGGCTCCGGCGGCTCCGGCTCCGACTCCGGCTCCGGCTCCGCATCCCTGGTTCCAGTCCCTCTTCGGTTATGCCTATACGGGACCGTTTTGGTCTCGCTCTGTCCGGGATGGTCCAAACCGGTCCCTCTCAGTCCAGGGGACACGTCATCGTCGTTTGGTCCCGTGTTCGGTCCACAGAGGACACTGGACGCCGGACAAGCAGCTCGCGGAGTGCCGCCGCTCATAGTTACGACCTCCTTTGTGGATTAATGACCCATTAATGAGTGATCGATGGCATTATACTCACTAGAAGATCTCTAATTTACGACGCAGGTCGTCGTTACTTTTAATTTCAGGGCTCCGGTGGGACAGCTGAAGGATTTTCGTTGTTTCCCGCTGGCATGAATTCCAGGAATTGAAGTGGTTGAAGAGTGTTCCGGCTGGCGGAGCGGATGCCGAAGCAATGAAGCATAGAGTGAAGATACTGATATATCTGCATAACGATGTCGCGCCCAAGTTTTCAAACTCCAGTTTCACATGCAATCGAGGAACTTCGAAAGCAAGAGCGTTTAAAACTTGTGTCCAAGGAAAATCAAACAAAGACGAAGCTCGGGCAGAGGACTCACCTGAGTTTCGAGTTCCCAGGCTTTCTTTGTGTCTGATACTGTAGGTAACTTGGTCGGTCAGTCTATGCTGAGGTGGCACAGTCGTCGCCTTATTTTCCTGCAACAGAGACGGAGTACGCTGAATCAGAGTTGCAGCGATAATAGCACCTAACTCAGCAGCGGCTGGGACGGCATCGAGGGGACAACACCGTCTGTCAACCCCAATCATATCGTATGTCATGTGATTGAGCCTGCAGCGCTGAGATTATTGTGCTGCTCCCGTCGTACCCGGCAGTTATACCTGGGAGAATCGGGTGACGGACCATGAGATGACGGGGCTGGGTCAGAACATTGCTGAGCTAAGAGCTGCCGGCTAGGAAGACCGTCACACCCTGGCATGTCCACCAAAGTCAGACAGCAGCGGCAAACAGCCGAGTCGGTGCTGCGAGCAGCCGGTAATGCTGCAAGTATGACAGACCTGACCTTTTAAATTAATAAATAAGAACGGCCAGTGCCCAATCAATAAATGACAAGAACCACCTTGTCATGGGCCATTTAGCTGGCGACATTGACGGCATTTACCCGGCTATTACCCATGACGTATCGATGAGATGGGTGTCGATACACACCCCTTATCGTCTGGAAACAAGCTGCAGTCGAGGAAAACGAGAGGGTTCGCAGACAGAGCTCCAATACTAGCGCAATCTTCCCTTTCGTCGACTGCATCACCGTGCTCATTATCCGTCAGTGGCATTCCTACAGGCGCTCCGCTAGCTGGGGAAGAATCATAGATAGACCCAAGGCCGCATATATTGGGATGGGAATAATCTTAGCCAGAGCGATAGGACAAATGCGCGATGCGTGAACACGGAATATGAACTACAACGCACTGGATGCGGGCAAAGGCGTGAAGTATGATCACAGGACGCCGAAGACGGACACAGGGCACGGGCACGGGCACGGGCACGGGCACGGGCACGGGCACGGGCATGGGCACGGACACGGGACATGCCCGAACGTGGACACGGACACGGAAGACACACAGGCACATGCTTATCCAAGCCTTTATGCACCGTGTGCACCCAGCCCACCGCGCGAAAGAGGCGGTGCAGCGCGTCGTGCACAGATGCACGTGTGCACACATGACTCATGATATGCACGTGCACGCGCAGTGCTTGGACTGAGGCTGTGCGCGACTGCAGCTGACGCTTCCGGTTGTGGGTGCTATGAACAAAGCCAACATTACGTTCCGGATGGACGGAAGCATAAGAGCGAGCTGAAAAGGAAGGACTCAGAAGGACCTTTGGGACGAAGCCTTAGCCAATAGCCAGCTGGAGCTCACGCCGTATCTTGAGTCTGATATCGAACTCGAGCATGATTTTTTTTTTTTTTTTAAGGAGCGACACATACGAAGACTATGCAGAAGGATCCTATGAGTAGTTCGACCATTCTGTTCCAACGCCCATTTGTAAAGCTCCAGTTTCTCATCACCACTATAACTACGTTGACAAATGTTCCGAGTGGCGAGCGCAGCGTCAAGAGCCAGTGTTTAGCGTGTCGCTCCTCCAGCGGTGATTAATCCAGCAGACGAACACCAGCGGTGTTCAACCTGTCCACGCCGCAACTAGCTGTAATAACACGGCAGCGGAAGGAAGTAATACGCCGGGACGAAGACGGAGCGACCGTAATGGCCGGGCACGGCTGACGGACCGGCTGGAGGCGCCGTGCTTGGTTCATAGACCAGCTGAAGGCGCCGTGCCTGGTTCATAGACCGACTGGGGGCGCCGTGCCTGGTTCATAGACCGGCTGACGGTGCCGTGCCTGATTCATAGACCGGCTGACGGTGCCGTGACTAGTTCATAGACCGGCTGCAGGCGCTGTGCCTGGTTCATAGACCGGCTGGAGGCGCCGTGCCTGGTTCATACATAGACCGGCTGGAGGCGCCATGCATGGTTCATAGACCGGCTGAAGGTGCCGTGCCTTGTCCATAGACCGTGTGTTGGTCCTGGTGGATGTTGGTCCGCGCTATATGGTCCTACAAATCGTGGTCCGGACAACACACTTTCCGTTTCCAAACCGTTAATCGATCATTCATCAATGATCAAGTACAGGGTGTCCGGAAAGTCCTGGCGCTTCTTTTGGACGCCGTGTAACGCGCGCTGTGATTATTGGACATTCAGCCAATCATCACAGACATGACCCCTCGTTGATTGCTCAGCCAGGGGTCGTGTAAATATGACCTTGAAATCGTTTTCAGTGATGGGTAGATGGGCGAAGATGCGCCTTGTCGCTGAATGCCTGCGCGCGGCGGCCGGGTGCGACTTGAACGAGGCGCGAGTTGCAGCGCGATGCGGCGTTTTTCGATGAATGGTTTAGCAGGTAAAGGTTTATTTGGACTCGGGAATTCCTTAAAAAATATCCTCAGACCGTTTCGAACGCGATATGGGAACGGAGCAGCATTTCAACGCGGCAATCGAAGAAAGTGCGGGGGTCTGATGGACAAAAATGTCCCATCATCTTCGTCAATGTCGAATAAATGAATAACAGGCTGGCCCACGAGGGGTTCCTGGACAGCCACATCAACCCGAGGGTCAAGACGACATGCCCTAAGGGTCACTTCGCATTTCAACAGCACAGAGCACCCTCCAACAACGCCGCCGCCATTCAAGCTAAACTGACAGAGGAGCTTGCCGGGCCAGATCACCGTGGGGGCATTCCACGTCAAATCAAACACCGAAATCCGTCATCCCCTTCGATTTTTCTGAAAATTTGTAGGCAGACTGGGCATGGTTCAAAACTGAGTTACGTATAATATTTTCGAAATTTGATAAAGTATCGCTGAGATATAGGTCATCGAATATAGCCAAAAATGCCACACACCAATTTTTCAAATGTCTATAACTCTGGTTCCTTTTCTGGTATCAAAATGATATTAACAGGGTCTTGTAGGCAATTGATAAGGCTTTGATTTTTAATTATAAAATTAAATTGAAGTGACCTTGAAATGCATTTGACCTTGAATTAAAACAGAAAAATTTAAATAGCAAAAAACACGTCACCTTCGATTCGGGTAATTTTTACATATTATGTCCGTCACAATGTTCCTAACCATCTGTGCAAAAATTGGAGTGGGCCATTCATAACTCTCGCGGCAAACGCCGTTTTCATGCATCAACATCACGCAACCGCGCGTGACCTTGAAAGACAGAGTCAAGACATGCTTGCTTGTGCACACTTTCTGAAAGGAATGATTGCTGATTAGTGATATCCCAAACTCTGCGAGAATGGAAATACATAATAATCGTAGTCAAGCTTTCAAGTTCCATAGTAAAAGTGTCTCAGGCAAACGGTATTTTGCGGTGAATTTTGAGCCGTGTGGAAATGCATCATGAAGCCAAAAATTCAACGAAAACATTATCACGCAACGATATCTTCACGTCTTTTTATCTTCACTATACGAAAGAATATACATTTTTGAGTATGTATGGGGAATTTCTAGTTAATCCAATAATAAATATTGGAGTTAGAGACCTGCTAAGAGTAACATGTCGCCGGCTGAGGCGGGATCGGCCGACGCGGGAAACACAGCAATCACAATTTTGTGTTTACACGTTCATATTTCAATTGTTTACCCACTGATTTTCAAAATTCTTACACCATAAGATTGCCTGTACATTTCTTAGTCTTCTCACAAAATTTGACGCGAATCGAACGTAATCAGCGGTAAGGAGCGCGATGTAAAGACGGAACCGTTCCGTTCCGTCCCGGCACAGTCTACAATTCAGGCGGCGGCTAGCGGTCGGCGCCGGCTGCCGAGTCGCCGCGTCGCCGCGGCGACAGGATGTTCACTTTACAGTTTACACCGCTATTACTAGACCAGTTGTGAACCGATTTTCTTCTTGCTTGCACGATGAGATGTGCAATTCAATTTTGGACAGGTAGCTGTAATTAATTTCGCATTAATACTATGAGATATTGGCGGAAAACAGGAGGAGTGGGGCGAAATTCACTCTTCCCCCTCCACTGCGCGTGCTAACATACGTTTGCATATGTGCCATTTTCTTCAAAACTTATGAATGGCCCACTCTAATTTTTTTCACAGGCTGTTAAGAATATTGTAGGCAATAAAATATATGAAAATTAGCCAAATCGAAGGTGACGTGTTTTTTGCTATTTCAATTTTTGTGCTTAAGAACAGAGTTAAGCAAATTTCAAGGTCATATAATTAAGTAGGTGCAATTCTAAACAAATGCTTAAGAAATTACCTAAACAGTAAGGTTTATTTCATCCAAATCACACAAGTACAACCAAAGTTATGGTCGTTCAAAAATATAAAGATGCAACATTTTTTTAAAAATTCGATGCCCTATATTTAGAAGACCTGTGGTCAGAATGTGCAAAAAACATCAATGTAATGTTCGGGGCGACACAGGAACTCGCTCACAAATTCATAATGAAATCGCTGATGGTAAGGTGCAAAACAGCCGATTTTTGTTCGATTTGACGTGGAATGCCCCCGTGGCGAAATGAGATTAGGCCGCCTTATTCTCCTAACCTGACCCGCTCGACTAAGGCGTGCTACGCGTTTTGTAGAACAGGATCTAGGCCATTTCTCACCCCAACCTGGAGTCGCTGAAGACTCGCATCATGACAGCATGGGAGGACCTGGAAATGCCCCGCATCGTCAAAACCCGCAGACGCTTCCTCCCCTACGTCGAGGCCGTCGTCGGCGCCGACGGTGGTTACATTGAATGAGCACGTAGCGGAAGCATGTGGCTTGGTGTCCCTGGTCATTGTTTTGATCCATTGATTAGTATCTAACTATGAACCAATGGCATTTGTTTTAGAAAATGTTGAAAAGCGCCAGAACTATCCGGACACCCTGTAGAGATACAGACAATGGTTCCAGACATGTCTGGTCTCTTTTCCCAGACGGTCGGACATGCTGTAGACGCTATTGGTGCCGGTCCCAGGTCCCAAACCGACGTGTCAAACTTTGAGTGCCATCCCAGCCGGCTCACATCGGACCGATGTCAGCGCGTCCCCGACGGCCCGACAGTCGGGTCGTCGGGCCCCGACTGATACTTCCGGACTCGGGTCCGGGCTGGCGCCACCCTG